TTCAAGGGTTTCGTCGACCCCACCGGGCATCGACCCTAACCTCTTAATTCAATTAGGAGGGTGCGATCTTTTCGCGGTTTTTTTGTATATTGTTTTAATATATTATAACTATAATATTGTTTTAATTATGGTGGCAAGGGCATCGATCCGTGGTTGAAAGTGGGGGGGGGGGGGCGAAATGAAATAGACCCCGAGAAGCTCTGGCGCCTATAGACTTTTAATTGAAGAAGCTCTGGCGCCTATAGACTTTTAATTGATTTTAAGCAATGCAATTAACATTTATTTCCATACGAAATCTTTAAAATATCTAGTGGCCAATCCAGTAATTTGAAATAGAGCTGGGCCCAGAGAGGAACTTTTACAGATGGAGAGTGTAGACCACCTCAGCGCCACTATGGTTAGGGTTGAGGTAAGAAAATTAATGATTATGGCACCTCTAGTTGGTCGGAAATGGCACTCTCAGACTAAATTTGAATATAATTTTCATTTTTCTCCAATTTTAAATTTCGAAAAAAAAAATTAGGGATGGTGGGCCGGCTGGGCCCCTTGAATCTGCCACACTGAAATACTCATCATAAAAAGTTTTTAAAATTATCCTTTTAGTCATAATTATGCCCGCTTATATATTTCGTGCAAACTAACATTCATAAAAATAATGATTTAATTTTATTAACTACTGATTAGCTTGTGACGTATTCAAAATTCGAACCATGAAAAACAAATAAGATAAACTTAAAACAGTGATTAATTTAGTCTTTCATGTACACTACTTTTATAATCAATCAAGAAATTGTTGCTTTTCTTCTTTTTTTGAATTTCACACGTTTGTATTAGTAATATTGCGACTACACTATTGTGAGTGAAAATAATATCAGCCTATTGTCAAATGATGTGAAAACACCTCGACCTGACGAAATAACGTAAAATTATCAGCTATATATATTTCTCCAAAAGCTCTAAAAAATACGACATGTTTATCTTGCAACATTTTCAACCAAGTTTAAGAGCGAGAATAGCCTAGCAAAAGTGTTTCACGCTGACATTAGATGTTTTTAGGTCATATTTTGTCTTTCCACAGTCTTATCTCAGCAAATACTTGTCGGATTTTTGTATTGCCTTCTGTTTTTGGAAGGCAATCCTTTTCTGATTGCTTTAGTATTTGTTTCAATTGTATTGCTTGAAAAAGTCATCGTAATTTTTCACTTTTCGATTGGTGCTATGCTGACCGCCCACCGCGTAGAGGCTGCATTTTTACAACTCTTGCGACTTCGTTGGCTTTAAATTGCCATTTCGGCTGTTCACCAATCAAATATCTTGTTGTTCATTCCCCTCCCCCACCCCGCCCAGTAAACAGAAAGCTGAATATTCATAGATTCTTCTCATATAAAATATATGAATTCCCATTGAATGAAAAAAAAAAATCACCATCAAAACACTGATTTCAATATGAATTGAATTAACAATCCTGTCTAGGAATTATGCCCGCCCAAAAAAAAAAAAAAAAAAAAAAAAAAAAAAAAAATGGTTCAATAGCAAACATCCAGGTTTGCTATTTATTATCCACCATCAACTAAACTGCCTTAAAAAATTTAAAGAAATTGGTTCATGTGGGAATTGAACACACAACCTCCAGGTTTGCTATCATTATCCACCATCAATTAAACTGCCTTAAAAAAACTTTTTTTAAAACCTGGCTCGTGTGGGAATCGAACCCACGACCTTAAAAAATAAATAAAAAAATAAATAAAAAACTTGCCCCGTGTGGGAATCGAACCCACGATCGCTGAGTTTACTACCCCTGATCCAGCATGACTAAACGCAGGGAAGTAAACCGCGGCCCCTAAACCATAAATGCGATAAGCCTAGTACCACACCAAGTACCAGTTAGTCAACTCTGATTCTACTAGAAAAAATTCTTTGTATATATACACTGCAGGTTAATAAGGACGTACTGTGTACCGTACTCGCGCGAATAAGCGCCCCTCTCGAATAACCGCCCCTCCTAACGTGAAAATTACCTTAAGCGCCCCATTTGAATAAGAGCCCTTCATAAGATTTTCTTTTTAGAAGTCAATAATCCAATCAATCCTGGGACTGTGGTTGTTGGCATGATTTGAGCTGTAGAGTGGAAACACATTCTTCTTCTGTCAATATCAAAATGAGGATATTTCTCTTGGACAGATGAAAGCTCCGATCCTTGGACAGACAGTATATCTCCAACTTTACTCTTTTTACATATTTGTCTATGCCTAGTTCTACTCCTCTTTCTCTTTTTCCGACCTTTAGCACATTTTCATCTAGTTTTCAAGAAAAAATACAATGATCCTGCCATCCTGCTAATCTCAATCGGCCGATGGCCAACAAGCTAACCTCTAGCATCTGCTATTTTGCTGTTATGTAAATATTCACGCATTCTTGTAATGAGCCATTTTCTCTGGACGATTATCTTTTCTAACCACCATTCGTGATGTCCTTATATAATATTTTTTCATTCAAAAAGTGACTCTTGAATTTAAAAATTTTCCATAAGAACCCCTCGATTTTCATCTATTTCCATAAGCGCCCCATCAATTTCCACTCTGTTTTCATAAGCTCCCCGTTTAAATAAGCGCCCCGTTTGAATAAGCGCCCTTCAGAAAGTGCAAAAAAATATTTTAAGCGCCCGGGCGCTTATTCGCGCGAGTACTGTATATGTATTTGTGTATATTTTATAGTTCATTTGTTGATAGACAGCCTTTCTGAAAGGTTTGTAATTTCTTCCTGAATTTATTTATATTTATTTATTTTAAACATACCGGTACCCCTTGAGCACAAAATGAATTCGCCCATAAACGCCCTGTGTGTAATTGGCTATGTAGGCACTGGGTTGAGGCATGCACGGTAATTTATATTGTTGTAAACATCATAATTGAAATAACTGTTTTCCAGGAAGATTTTGTTTAAAAACGGTCGGCCATCTTGAAATTCAAAATGGCCGCCATCTATGGTCTATGACAATATTAAAATCAAATAGGTTGACATTGAAAACATAGGGTTAACACTTGAAATTAAGTCAATATCTGCTTTAATAGTAGAGTTATGGTCATTTTAATGGTTAAAATGGCAGCCATTTTGAAATTCCAATATGGCGGCCAAGACGATATTGGGAAAAAATGGACCTTTGCATTTTTGGATTCAGCATACCCAAAATATCCAGAAAATGCAATAAAATTTCCTTGGGCAAGCCTATCTCGCAAACCTGTTTTTTTTAGACACTAGGTTTCTCACTAAAAGCTGCGACGCGTAGGGTGATGGTTTGACGTCACACTAAAAATCGGATTTTAATCAATGCAGCCAAAGCTTGTATATATTTTGCGAGCCGAATTCCGAGTTAACCTAAATTTATTGTGACGTCACTATAACAATTATACCTTACTAAATACTACATGCTCCATATGTACTGCTACACCATCTTACTCTTACCCTAGAAGCCAGACCATGTTTTGTATGCACTTTGAGGTGCAGAGAATTTGACTTCAGAATTGGTTCTGGGTGGTCCAAGAATCATTTTTGGCTTGGTAACATATTTTCAAAATGTGGCGAAAGGTTAAAAGGTCAGGGTCAAATGTCAAAGCTATAAGGTCCTTGTATCTCCGCAACCACATGTGGTAGAGAATTGAATTTGGTGACAAATTGTTCGGAACCTGCATATTTCTATTTGCTGTAATAGAACATTTTGCTAAGAAATGACCGAAAATGCCGTTTCGGACCTTTGACATGCTTCAAGGTCATAGCCATATTGTCCTTATATTTCCGCAACCACTGGCGGTAGAGAGTTAATATTTTTGTCAATTTGTTCGGAACATTCATGTTTCTATTTCGTCTAAAAAAAGAGTTTGCTAAAAATGACCGGAAATGCCATTTCTGACCTTTGAAATATTTTATATAAGATAGCAATTGAGTCGTGATTATCTCCGCAACCACTGGTGGTAGAGAGTTTTTGGTGCCAATTTGTTTGGAACATTCAGGTTTCTATTTGCTCTGATAGAACATTTTGCTAAAAAGTGATCGGAAATGCTGTTTCTGACCTTTGACATGTTTCAAGGTCATAGTTATATGGTCTTAATTTCTCCGCAACCACTAGTGTTAGAGAGTTAATTGCGGTGTCAATTTGTTCGGAATATTCATGTTACTATTTGGTCTAATAAATGAGTTTGCTAAAAAATGACCGGAAATGCCATTTCTGAACTTGGACATATTTTATATAAGATAGCCATTGAGTCATTATTATCTCCGCAACCACTGGTTGCGGAGATTAATTTTGGTGCCAATTCTCCATGTTTCTATATACTCTAATAGAATTTTTCCTCTATAAAAAATAGCGGAAATGCCGTTTCTAACCTTTGACATGTTTCAATGTCACAGAGAGCGCCACCTGGCGCCGTGGCGACACGACTGTGGTACCATAGAGATATATAGCTCTATGTGTGGTAATCTATGTTCTGTTTTGCAAACCGACAGGCTAGAAGTCAAAGTGTTATGCATTATACAACATTAGTGATAATGAAAGATTTTAAAATTCAATTCGTTTGAAATTACTAGTAGAGCAGTTAATGCCACAAAATAGCCAAGTTGTGCATTTTATCAGCAAAGCATGAAACTTGGCACAAAGTTTCAGCGATGTATATATAATCAAACTATAGGGGCTGTCTCTTATACACATCTAGATGTGTATAAGAGACAGGAATTAAGAAGTAACAAAAGTTTGCCTGGTGCCGATTTATCGAAGAGGCCCTTAAGGGATAAGCAAGTTACTGTACCATATTAGTACACACCTCGAGCACTGTCGTCATCATCATCATCATCATCATCCGTCATCATCATCATCATCATCATCATCATCATCATCATCACTATCATCATCACCACCACCACCACCATCAACACTATCATCATCATCATCATCGTTATCAATCTGAATTATAATCATAACTTTTCTTTTTGTAAAATGCATGTTTCAGGACGATCCTATTAGTCTGTTCACTTGGTTCATTATTTTGGATACGATGGAGACGGAGAAAAGCCGCCGAACGCAAAAGAAAAGAAGAAGAGAGCGAATGGACTAAACAAAAATATGAAACAGTCCGGGGACTCCAAGATATTGCTGAACAAGAAAGTATAGTAGCCAAATGCAATAAAGCAAAGGTTGTTTGTTTATGTTTATCCTTGATCGGTGAAATGGCAGCTTTATGGAATACTGACTATCCTGTCGTAAAATGTATTCCAATTGGTTTACGTTTTTTCAATGTTATTACTGACTCAATAGCAGAATACAGATCAAGACAAATATCTGAAGAAGCCATTAAGCTACTCCAAGAAGACAATGTTACCTTCAAGTCTAAGAGACATCAAGAAAAAAGAGATGAGTACTGTTCTAGTCTGAATGAATTTCGGTCAGGCCTAGGTGGTGTATATTTCCAATTCAGAAGGGATGGCGATCTAATGAAATTTTTCAGAGGTAATATTTAAAATGAGTAAGTTAAGTAGTTTGGGAGTTGAGTTGAATAGTTGGTGGTAAACATGCTCGACTTCCAATTCACTGAATCCATTGAATGGTCCCGGGTTCAAATCCTGTCAGATTCCAGGATTTAGTCTTATACGATAAACAAATCCACTCCAGAAGCCTTCGTGGGATTGACCATGTGCCTAAAGGAATAACATAAAAATAAATAAATAAATTACAAATTAATTGGGATAACACAGTTGCAGATATATCATTTGTCATAAAACGAAAATAACCTCAAAAGTCAGATAATGTAATAGCTCATTAAAATGATCAAATAATGTATTAACTTTCAATGATATACAGAATAATTTTTTTTTCGCTGATTTACAGAATTTGTATTGACTTTTTATGTAGTTAAATTACAATTTTCAATTAATATATTTAAAAAAAGCAACTAAATTGTAGAGTTTTTCTAGCCTTTAGCTAAACACATGTAATAATTGATCAAATAATATTACCCATAGACCCAGGAACAAGACAGAAAAATTGGTTTTCACTGATTTACAGACGTTTCCTACAAAAAGCTTAAAATTCATTACCAGCCAAATTTAAGGGTCCTGCAAAAGAACACAGCAAATGTACTATTAAACTGTCTGACGATTGACGGGACACTATTGTAAGATAATAACTTGCTTAATGCAAATTAAGTATTAGACTTCGCGCCTGAGTTGGCCAAATATCAAAACTAATAATGGCTAAATAAATAATAATACAAATTTATCAATTTTAAATACATTCTAATAACATAATTATTATAGATTAACAGTTTGTAATTATGGCAAAGATCGTATAATAATAAGATAGCACTCTCCGCGATTTCACGCGTAACACATAGCAGCGTCGATGTACGAAAGAAGCATAAAAAAGTAACTTTTTTGAGAGAGAGGGCGTGCTAGTTGTTACTGGTTGTTAGTGTTTGCACGCAGAAATCACGACGTGCGCTATCTTCAGTTTATACATAAGAGTCACAATAAGCAATTAGTAGAGCTGCGCATAATACACTAACGGGAAATTATTATAGGAAGGTTAGATTTAATGCTTGAAAAAATTTCCTGAGGGCCAGCAATCTAACCTATGTATAATAATGATTTCCCCTAATGTACGATGCATGCAGCTGTACTAAGTGTATGTCAATCGCCGTCGTTTAATGTTAGTTTTGATAATCAAATCGACTGCTGTAGCAGTCATCGGTTGCTATAGGAATATGATCAGAATGTGTGCGTATTACATTTAGTTTAGCTGTGCGTATGCTGATATGCTCCTGCTGGCTCCTGCAGTATACGCTAACACACAGCTAGCGACGTTACGATGAATAAATATTGTGTTTGAAGAACAATTGTAATGCTATTTTAATAGACATTCGTCAAAAAAATAAACATTAGCGGCATTTGAGAGAATACAGTAATCGCTGTTTGATGTGAAAGTCCAAAAGCAATTGTTTTACGTTAGGGTGCCTACACTGCATTGTTACAGAATTTGCACACATAAATTGAAGAGTGCACTATCTTAAAGTATAGGTAATAGTACTAAATGAGAAAGACTGTATTACTGCTATAACGATTATAATTTATTTAATTAATAATAATAATAATAATAATAATAATAATAATAATAATAATAATAATAATAATAACTAATCGAGACCAAAGACAAAGCGTATGTAAATAGCCACCAAAAAAGAAAAAAAATATGGACCTTATTTAGCGTATTCAATATTCGTTTAAAATTGACAACAGACGCACATAACAACTATTAACTTTTTTTGCAGATGTTGTAAAAGTACTTCAGAAGTGGATCAACAAAAGGCACATAGAGGGTAACGATTATTCAAGTTTCTTTTTACTGGAAAAAATGAAATTGTTAAAGTCAATGTTCACTTATGAACGTTTGTATTAACATTTTACATAAAATGTTTTCTATAGTAAATAAATAAACAATTTTAAAAAAATGACAGTTTTATTGAAATAAAGAGCTCCAAAATATAACTGTCAAAAAAAAAATCAAACAAAAATTAATAAATAATTCATTTACCGAAATATCGAATGTTCTTTAGTTTACAGCTTTTTAAAGTGTATTAAAACTATGTTTACAGTCAACAGATTCGTATCGCTGATTGTCAACATCGGTCAAATATTTGGTTTCGATCTCTCATATTATGGTATGATATTCCATGGGTGATATAGTCCTTTCAGATAATTTATTTCTGTGCATAAAAACATTTATGTATATGTCGTCTTTTTTTTAAATGGGCTTTAAATGTTATCTATTTTTACGTAACATCATTCCTATCTGGAAAATTACTACAGATAACTACAAGCTAATTAAAACATTAATCATTTCAATATAATACCACGAGCCGACTAATAAATAAATAATTTGAATATACACCACAAGCTGATTAATAAATTAATAGTTTAAATATTTTTGTAGCTATGCTGACCGGTGCAGCCAATATGATTTTAGATGTCATCGCCATGTACCAACGCGTCAGCGACATACGTAATGGCTCACGTGATGAAACTGCAAATAAAATAAGAGAAATTGCAAGTAACCTAGAGGAACAAACTTATACAATGGACTAGATCAAATGGTTTAAAAGTCGTAACCACTAATGAATAAACGTGATTACGTTACATTGTCAATTGTAAATATTTTATTGTAAATAATTTATTAATGTTTTGAACAGGGTTAGTAGAAACACATCATATCAACCTGCAATAAAAACAACCAATCATTACTTAATATTTAGTTATTCTTATTCAGTGATGGTGATGGTTTGGTAATGGCATCTTTTGTAAAACTATAATTGACAACACTGAAGTATTGTTGAAATAATGTAAAACATAGGCCTATTGTAAAAATAAATTATATATAGGCCTATATATATGCCTATATATATGCCTATA